CCTGAAGATGTGGTTTAGTTTGGGGTCCACCACCTGAGAAATGATCCTGTCCACTCCTGCTTCCAACATGCCTGACCTGTGGAGAGAAACAGTCTTATTTAGCTCCCAAGTTCTCCTCTGCACCAGAAAGCCCTGAGTGCCACTCAAGAGGCCAGCCAACACCCACTGTCCCAGGATTTAGACCACGGTCTTTCACGGGAGGGATTCCCAGCGGCCTGCCGCCCACCGTTCCTAATGCAGTCTCCACTTCATACAAAGGAACCAAACAGAGCTAAGCAGACTGCTCCAAAGGCCTGCACACATGACAAACCATGAGAGCGAGCCTGGCCACGGAGTAGGGTGAAACTGCGGTCAGTGTCAAAGGCAGCAGCAAGCCTTGTATGCCTTGTTCTCAGCATTCATTCTCAGCAGCCGGACCAGAGGTGGCTTCCCACAGCTCAGTTACTCCATCAGCACAAACCAGTGAGACACAGAAAGACGGGACATGCTACGAGCAGCTGCTCAACCCAGGGCGGCTACTGACCCCTTCTTTTTGAGACCTCTGCACCAACAGAAGAACTCACCTTGAGAAAGGGAGCAGGACTGGGCAGACTAAGAGACAGCAGGGGCAGCTTTAGATGCCACACTCCCCTAGTGCTCAGAGCTCAGATTTACGTGGGTGTTAATCTTGTTCATTTGTAAGACTCTGAGTTCAGTGGTCATAACCCACACAGTGAGTGCAACAGTGCTTGGCAGCAAAATTTTCTATTTTTTAAAACTTTTAAATTTCACAATCACTGTATAGTCCCAAGAAGTTGCAAGGAAATATATAAGCAGGCTCATACATCTTTAGCCAGCACCCAGTGTTAGCGCCTTGCCTAACACTACACTACCAAACTAGAACTTGGCACCAGGACAATCCAGACTGTGTTAGACGACCTGCACTCAAATGTGTGTGTGTGTGTGTGTGTGTGTGTGTGTGTGTGTGTATTTACCCGGCCTACTTTGTGTTGCTGTAACAAAATCACTGAGGCGGGGAACTCATGTATAAAGAGGTATACTTGGCTCATGGATTCTAGTGGCTCCAAGTCCAAATAGCACAGTGCCAGCAGCGTCTGCTAAAGGTTTCTATCTGTATTACAACGTCACGATGAGCATGCACATGCCAAGACTAGGCCACCTGGAGAAACGCAGCTGAACTCACCCATTTTTTTCTTTCTTTCTCTGAGAGGTCTCACTGGGTAGCTGAGGCTGGTCTGGAACTGACTGGTTCTCCTGATCTTCCCGCCTCAGCCTCCTTGAGTGCTGGGATGACAGGAGTGTGACAGGCCTGACATTTGGCCCAACTCAACAACTGATTCTCAAAGAACTTATTCAGTGCCACAGAGGTGAAGGCCCCATGACCTCAACACCTCCTACCAGCTCCTGCTACCAACACCAACTCACCGGGGATCAACTTCTACCGTAGGAGCCTCTGGGCATGCAGCTCAGCTTCACTGCCCGAGCCGCTCAGGGTATGCACCAGCACAGCTAAATGCCAACAGCACCAACAGAGCCCCGGCGCTCCAGCTTTCTCAATCAACTCCCATCATGCCCTTGGTAGCTGCCACTGGCCACACATCTCTGCACTGGCAGCAAATGCAGTCATTTCTCAGCCTTCCGAGACTTGCTTTTCTCACCACAGTTCCCTGATGCTTCTGTTTTCAGAGTCCTGCTTCATAAGCTAAGCTTTTAGTCAACAACTTAGTGGATTAAGAAGGGCCAAATATAAGTCCTGGTGTTAAAAGCCAAAATGGATTCTGAACAGATCAGAAAAAAATTTACTTTGATGTGGGAGCCCACAAAGGTTTCCTAGTGAGATCTGAGCTTGCTTTACACAGCAGGGCTGCATTAGGGGATGGCTGGACCACATGCATAAAGTCACCAGATGTTTGGGATGGTCTGCACTTGGCTGTGCGGGGGAGGTCTTTTGCTTCACCCCTTGGCATTCCTTTATAAAGCCCTTTAGTTGAGACAGAAGGGGCTGGTGGGTTGAGACCCAAGCACTCCCGAGGCTATGCTGTGTTTTCCGTCTGTCTGTCTGTCTCTGTCTCCTTCTATCCACAAACACCTCATCTCTTCCTCACCTTGGAATCCATGACCCATCCCCAGTGTGCCAGTGACAATGAGGCCACTCATGTGATTCACTATAGCACCTTTTCTAGCAAAGGCTCAGTTTGTTTCTGTAAAGGACAAAGTCTTACAGGACATCTCTCTGCAAACTGTCACCACACTTTAGCAGCCATGGTCACGGAACACACAGAACTCACGTGCCTGTGAGAACAAAGGTGAAGCCCTGCTGGCCCACACCCAAACATTGGCATCTTGGCCTAAAACTCACTCTCACGTTCAGATTACACTGAAAGCTTCCAAGAACCAAGTCTCACACTCTGGAAGATCTTCCAGAGTCACCACTGAATGTGCACACCCAGGAGGCCCCCAGAGCTCTGCTCATCTTCCCCTTGACGCATCGGACAGTAGATGGCTACCAGGCCCCATTGACCAGGAGGCCCGTGAGAGGTCAGCCTGTGCAGCAGCATGCTGGGACAGTCACCATTTCCTCACGGCTTTACTTACTGAACCACGCTCTGCCTCAGCCCATTCCGCAACTGGTTCTTGTTCATTGCAGGATTCCATTCCTGTTTGTCCAGATGTGTTGACACAAAATTATCCACTTTCTGCCTCAGGTTCTGGTAAGCTGGCTAAGACATTCAGAAGAGACCATGTTATCTTTTTTTATTTAATGCTGATTGTTGTTTATTAAAGGAGGTAAGAGGTCTTAAATACAGCACAGTGGGAAAACCCCGGAGGGCAGAAGTTCGCTACAGATGTTTTATAATCTTGCATCTAAGCTGCTAACGCCTATTATGCAGGATACACAGACAAGAAACTTCCCTTAAGCATTTAGGAGGGCGGAACCTGGCAGGGAATTAGCATAGGGAGGATATCAAGGTCAAGAGACCATGTTATTGTACGTGAGTTACGTTAGTGTATCAAAGTTGTGGAATGGAGCTATTCAGAACACTGCTCTTCATAGAAACACAATTCTCATTTAAACACACTTCCACCTGACCTCAGTACCCACACTGCAGTACAGGCGCTAGGAATCCACAGCCAGCAGGGTGCCTGCCTTGCAGTGGTCTAACACAGTGCAGGACATTACCTATATAAACCAATCTACTCTTAAAGAAACTCCAGACGGGGAGAGCTTATTAGTATTATTCTGCCCTCATTTACACATTAGGCTTTCAGGCTTTCAAGAGTAAACACAGGTGCCCTCCAGTGCAATGCGGCCAAGGGCAGATGCAGGCTGTTTCTGGGAAGGAACTGGTTCTAGATCAAGCTGACTTTCCAGGAGTCACCTGACTTCTGAATTTCAGGAACTTCCATCCATAAAATGCAAACATTCCTGCTTGCTTGACTCACAGTGGGTGTTCTCAGCAGTACACCAAGGAAAGGCCCCTCCAAATGAAAGGGCCACCCAAACCTCAGCAAGAGTCACAATTAATGCCTTAATGCCAAGGGAGTTCTGTGATGAGTTTCCAGGCAAAGCTGTGACCCTCAAAGGAGCCTGGGGTACTTACTCTAATTGCTCCTACAAGCTTGAAACAGGACTAGGAGTACAAGGAACATATGGTTCTGAGAGCCCAACCTCCTCCCTCTCTCCTACTGAAGGCAGATATACCTCCTCACTCCATCCATGCTGAGTGCTGTGTCCCCAGAACTGAACTGAAGCTGTGCTGTCAGGCATGGCTCTGGGCCCTGTATGAGAGCATGTAGTGGGAAGGAGGGCCTGCCTGTGCCACAGCACAAGCCGGGTAGCCTGCAGCTGACAGCCAAGCCACCAGTTGAGGCCTATCTAGACCAGCTGGCGTTGGTGACATGCAGCCCTAACAGCTGTGGAGCAACCACTACCCTGGGGAGCCCTCTCAGTCAGTAGAGGGACCCCCTAACTCCACCACCTTAATCTTGGCAAGCTCCATTTGTAAAGGGAAAAGGACTGTTCTCACCCTTAACACACATTCCAAGCTACTTTTCCGAGTAAGGCGAATTAGTATTTTTACCGGATAGACTGGCTTTTGCACTGGGGTCTAACATAGGCGTCAGCTCCCTTTAAATTAAAGGATACAAAAGAAGGGAGCTGACTCTAGAGCTCATCCCAGTTTGGAGGAATACAAGTCTGCAAACCATTCCTCTGGGGAAAGGGAATAATAATTATTGCCGAGTCGTCCGACCCATTCCGTGCTTAAAATCACCTCCCTACTGGCGAACAGAAAATGGGTACCGCTTCTTAAAGCACTCTGCCTTTCCCGACTGTTCTGAGACACGAGTTTCTTTGGTAAGGTGGAGGTTTATATGTGTGCAACCGTAAAGGAATCTCCAAGTTCAGAAAGGCGACTGGACTAAAAATCACGGCTGCTAAGTGAAGGGCGTGAGTAGTGCTCAGGTGTGCACCACTCAGAAGGCGCCCCGCGTCCCGGAGGCTCCCGAGCTGCCTTTTGTTTTACTCCCGGCTCCCGCACGTCAAAACAGCGGGGGGCACCGCCTCGCCCCCCACGGCCCGGGTACCTTGGTGTCCACGTCGGCCAGGCAGTCCCGGCGGAAGCTGTCGAAGAGGCCGCGACTTTTGAGCTGCTCCACTATGAGAGCGATGAGTTGCGGGTCTCCCGGAGGCAGCGACGCGGGGTTGACCGGGCCCCCTGCACCACTAGAGCCCGCAGCCGGTCCCGAGGCCTGGCCCGCCCCTGCTCCCGCACTGGGCCCCGCGCTTGGTTGCTCCTCCGGGAGCCACGGGCCGCGGGCTGCGCAGACACGGAGGGCCCCACGGAAGCGGCGGCGACGGAGGCGGCAGGGTGGGAGGCGGCGGGGCCCACGACGCTACCCGCTCGCAGCCCTGCTGGCGCACGTCTAATGGCGTCACCGGTGGCCTTTGCATTGTGGGACGGTTGGTTTCCTGGAGCCATCGCTCGAGTTCTTATAGGCTGGGTCTGGCCGTTGAAAACTACAACTCCCGGCAGAAGATTGGCTCGCTCGCGCTAGTTCGCGGGGCAGCATGGGAATTGTAGGCTCAAGCCTTAGTAATGGCTTGAACGCAATCGGACCCGCATCCTTCCCAAATCAGACCCCTCCACAGAGCAGTGAACAATCACGGTAAAGCTGATCGGAAGATTACGAGTCTATACTTCAAAGACTGTGATTCAATAGCTCTGTTTCCATGTCTGGCAGCCTGTGCTTTTGACGTGCACTCAACTCCCATGACCTCCTTGAACAATATGATCTGGAAAATTTGGTTAACAATGGATTGATTGATCGATCTTATTTGTTTTTCCAACAAAAATAATTTTACGTATTTTGTACTGTTGCCACTGTTAGAAATAAGTTTGGGATTGCAAGGAGAGACCATCACTCCAACTGAAGTGCCTGTACAAGGAAAGTTACTATGTATCCAGAGGGTGTGCTGGGGTGGACCGGTCAGGGGAGCAGCCACACCTAGACCGGAGATGCATTTGGTTTTTATTCTAAGGAAGGTGGTGGCTGTGTCTTTTCCCCATTGGCTAGGGCCCCACCTCACAAACTTACTCAGTTGGCTAGTCTGAAAATAATTTGTGCATAGGAAATAGAGAAGGAAGAGGAGAGGGGTCACTGCTCCAAGGAGAAAAGGGTCACTGCCCCCAGGCTATCAAATTCCGGGACCTTTGTGTAAATAAAGGTTTTCCTGGGTGGAGAGGATTCAAATATTTGCAAGTCTTACAAGGTGGGGGAGAGAAAAGGCTCTTGATTCCTAGTTCTAAACACAAGATTTTGTGTGTGTGTGTGTGTACATCTATCTATCTATCTATCTATCTATCTATCTATCTATCTATCTATGTATACATATATGCATGTGTGTGTGTGTATATGTATTTGATTTTTTGAGACAAGGTTTCTCTGTGTAGCCCTTGCTGTCTTGAAACTCACTCTGTAGACCAGGCTGGCCGCAAACTCAGAGATCCACCTGCCTCTGTCTACAGAATGCTGGGATTAAGGGCATGAGCCTCCACGCCTGGCTCAAGTTTCCTGTATTTTAGAGGAATGATCATATTTGTTATTTCTTACATGCCGCTGTCCCCCTTTCCTTTCCTTCCTTGGCTGATCATTGACTCAAATTCCCCAACTCTCAGAACTCATCTCCAGCAGTTACTCCTCCTCTCTCATGAGCACTGGAAGGAATGTGAGTGACTTTTACAATACCCTTGGCTCCTGGGAAAATGCAGACTAGGCAGAGATCCAAGGTGCTCTCACCCCACATTTACTACCCAAGAGAGCTTAAATTAGACCACAAAACAAGTAGCCACTTTTAGTTCATACTCCTTTCACATCAGCCCAGCCAGTCTCGGTGGTTAAACTAATCACATTCTCTCATAATAGATTGCAACCCTTTGGGATATCTCAAGTCTATACTACTGATCCAGGCTGGCCTCTCATATTTAAGCTCCAAGGAAGTCCCATTAGGGATAGCTCAGCTCCACTCTCCCAGGGGTGAGTGTCACTCTTCTTTTAGCCCGCCTTGTCTCAATTTTAGTCACATCACATCTTATTCTCTTTCTTCACAAAGATTCTTATAGCAGTTGTAATTGGAAGTGAAAAATGTGTAGGCTCTTGGCCACCTGCACTCTCTGGATGATGCTCAGATCGCAGGACCCCCAAAAAACCACCATGGAGACCGAATCTCAAATGTAAAAGCAAAGAGCCTTTATTTTCTTCAAGTTCTGAACTTGGTCTTTCTGTCTGTCTGACCCAGCAGTGATAACAGAGAGCCCTGAACCCAGGCAGGGTAGAGCTTTTAATCATAGCAGGGGTTAGGGTGAAGGGGTTCAGGGTTCAGGACCCTGATTGGCTGACAATTGTCTAGGGGTATCTATAAAACAAAAAGAGGGGTTGGAGAGATGGCTCAGAGGTTAAGAGCACTGACTGCTCTTCCAGAGGTGCTGAGTTCAATTCCCAGCAACCACATGGTGGCTCACAACCATCTGTAACAAGATCTGGTGCCCTCTTCTGGCCTGCAGTCACACATACTGTATACATGATAAATAAATAAATCTCAAAAAAAATAAATAAATAAAGTGTTAGAAACAAAAAACAAAACAAAACAAAAAGAGGTGTGTGCTAGACTCAAGGACATCTGGCCACCTTATCTAATGGTTGGAATGTTTGGGATGTTAGGTATTTCCCCATCCCTGGGTGGATCCCTGGGTGGTGACAGCCTATGGCTTTTCCTGGATCTGGGTGTTGCCTGCCAGTAAGCCTGTCACAGAAGCTGTGCCTAGGCCCCTAAGCCTGTCATGGCAGCTGTGTGGTCAAGCTGTTTTGGGGCCCTCCACACTCTCTACTTCCCCAACCCTACCCAGAGTGTAAGCTTCGGTGGAAACCATGGCGGTTTTGTCCCTGGTGCTCCGCACATTTGGCCGAAAGTTCCTGTCTGTTTCCTAGCTGTAGAATAGTGTAACCATCCTGGCAGGAATGAAGGTAGACTAACGAGCTTGTGCCCTGCCCTTTGACTATCAGAATATTGAACCAATTGTCCCCAATAAATTTAGTAGTCTCTTTCTTGAAGACTCTCATGCTGACAGAGGGAATATATTGAAGTCTGGTGTCCGCCAGAGGGAAAGCTGTTGATTCCACTGGGCAAGATTAAGACCACTACCACAATTTTTGTGCCAAATTTGAAGCAAGCGTTATTAAGTACAGGCCAGGATGATGGACACTGGCCAGGTCCATACCTGGGATTCCCAGAGAATGGCTATGAATGTCGTCAGTCAGGTACTTATAAAGACAAGACCCACAAGGCTGTCACCTGCTGCCATCATCCAGTTGGGGGCAAGCATATATCCTGATGTACTTCCTGATGTTAGGTCTCAAACCTGGTCTCAAAGAATGGCTGAGGTGCCTGTTTAACATATCAAAGCAGATGCTGGCCACCAGGTTATCTCTGCATCCCTCAGTCTCCATCTGTTACAGGGCCCTCCTGGCTGATATATCCCGCCTCCTGCCCTAAACTTCTCCAGCCCAGGGCCTGGGCGGCCCTTCCTCCAGCTACCCTTCTGTCTTAGTTAGGGTCTTATTGCTTTGAAGAGAAACCATGACCACTGCAACTCTTATAAAGGAAAATCTTTAATTGAGGCTGGCTGACAGTTTCAGAGGCTTAGTCCATTATCACCATGGCAGGAAGCATGGTGGCATGCAGGCAGATGTGGAGCTGGGGAGGTAGCTGAGATTCTACATCTGGATCCAAAGGTGGCAGGAAGTGACTGAGACACACTTCTTCCAACAAGGCCACGCCTCCTAATAGTGCCACTCCCTATGAGCCTATAAGGACCATTTTCTTTCAAACTACCACACCTTCCCTGTATAATCCAGCCATTTTGGTTACCTGATCTCTTCATCTATTCTTTTGGTCAGTCTCTTGGCCCAGGCTGTCCCTCTTGGTTGGCAGCTCCCCTCCCCGCTGTCCTCACATGGCTCTGGGTCATGTCCACTCTGGACTCTCCCAGATGTCTGCTCTGTAGCTGGAGAATTTTCTCTCTGGGTCCCGCCGAGCCCCAGCAGTCCGACAGCCCACTTGCCACGTGGCTCGTGGCTTACCAGCATCTTCACATGCTGCTTGTCATGGCGGCGGCTGGCAGTGTCCAGTCCCCCCCCCCCTTCCTGTTCTCTCAATTCTCCTCTCTGTTAGTCTCGCCTATACTATCCTGCCTGGCTACTGGCCAATCAGTGTTTTATTTATTGACCAATCAGAGCAACCCATTTGACATACAGACCATCCCACAGCACTGCTCTCCCTTTTATCTACAATAAACCTTCTCCTCCACCATACCTAAGAGCAGTCGTGTCCTTTCCTTGTTATTTCTCTCTCCATTCACCTGCCTATCAAGCACATCTGCAACTCCTTGTTTACAGAAGAGAAAACACACGGCTTGCTATCTTACACGAACAACAGGCCCCAGCATTCCAGGAAGTTATCTGTCCTTGGGCAAGAGGGGCTTACAGGTTAGAGGCAGTTTTGTTTTATAAATGTCTTGTCTGCTAGGGCGGGACACTCTACACTATTCTGACAACCTGGAAGACCACCTTGCAGGAGAGCTATGTGCCGCTTGACCAGCTTATACCTCAGCCCTCTATAAACCTGTACCTTACGTCAGGACTCTGGAAGATGGTCTTGGTTTGGTACAATCACTAGGCCTATGATCATGTTAGCTGAATCTACTTTCTCTGTTTTCCAACATGTCTCCTTGGTTAGCCTTTCACAGATGGGTGGGTGGGCAACCCTGGCTTGTTAGGGTTACCAGGGCCCAGGCTTTGGCCCTAACAACTCCACTATTTGGTCAGAGAGTATGTGGGTAGGGACAGGTTTTAGACACCATCTTCAAGAAGTCCTAGTGTAGTAGGAATCACTGGGATAGTCTGCCATGACCTAATGGGAAAGTGATGCTCACAGTGCAGTATCTCACCATCACCGGGCCCTGTGTGTGGCTGTTGGAACGCTGGACTATGAAGAGGTGCTGCTCCGGATGCCCTGTACACTTGCCTTTGTTACCACTGTAACTGGATGTGTTGAGGGCTGAGACTAAGGATGAAGGTGATCGAGATTATAGGAGGTCTATTATTAATCAAAGCCTTGCTAAGGGGAATCCAAAAATGCACTCCTCTGCCACCACCAGGCATGTAGTATACAATAATGGTCACCAGGGGGCGCCATTGCTGTATTTATAGCACAAGGCATTTGAATCAGAGCAGTGCTGTTTGGTCTCAGAAAACAGTGGTCTAGATTTCAGTCCTTTCAATAACTGCTGTCAAGTCTCAGTATTAAAACTGTTCAGGACTAGGGATGTAGCTTAGGTAGATGCTGACCTATTCTTGGACAAGGTCCTGGGTTTAATCTGGATTTGATCTCCGGCACTGAAACAAACAAAA